AGATGTGTATAAGAGACAAGCTATATACACTGCACTGGACCTGCAGTTTGAAGTCCTTATCCGAGAATACTTGGTTCTACCAACCGAATCAGGTGCGAGGAGCAGCTGGAACCAGCGCCGATGTATTTTAATGCTGTAGCTAGCATTATATATATATAATACATTATTATATATATAAAATAATGTCACCTTCAATGCACTGCCTGCGAGCGGTGCATTGATAGAAATTTGCCCGACGTGATCGCTCAATCTCAAAATCTCTCAGAAGTAATCATGGGGCGTATCCCCCGTCAGTGAGTTAGCGTATTAATTGTGACATGTTTCTGCTGGCTTTTTGCAGAAGCTGGGTCATACATTGCGTACGAGAAGTGTCGGCATCGAAACAGCACCTGATAATGGGGATAGCTCAGCGACATCATGTAAGTGAGATTTGATTATTACAAACCTATTATCAATTCACTAAAGCCGGGCACTCCCTGCCGACGGTCGTACGACGGCCCCCAACTCCACTATCTGTGAGCGCTAGACGACGCGACGCCGTCTGCTAATTGTCGGTGGCAGTCTGAACGGATCGTATCGTTATTAAAAACGATCTTGGCGTCTTGGCGTTCTACATAAAATCGCGTCGGCCGCAGTGAGTGCCCGTTTTTAAATTCACATTATAATATTAAAATAAGACCAAGAGCAGTGACACATATAGACCTACTACTGAAAAACATCCATTCTGCTGCTTTATAATCAAATTGGTAAATACGCATTATCAGTTTTAAATGTTAGGTCATATATTTGCTTTTTAACAATACAATTTTTAACTATTTTATTGAAAAAATCAATGTATAAATTTTATTTTTCTATGTTTTCTCGAAAGTTTCTTCTTTAGATTTTAGTTGTATTTTTGTTATTGACCAGGGTTTTAGAGATGCCCATGTAATCTTTATATATTTTAAATGCATTGTGACTAATTTGTAATAAATAAATAATAAATTCAACATTAACAATATTTTAAAACGGTTATTCAGATGAACTAACTATTACACTAGGAACAAAGTTTTTAGTTATACTGAGGTTCCCGGGCGCTGAGACAGACCACACCTTTAACTAATGTAAAATTAAGTGTGAAAGAATAATGGCTCTGAAATATCTCACACAACTTACTACTGTTACAATATAAACCAATATGCGCTCATTTAAAAGGAATACCTGTACTATTTTAAGGAATGCAGTACTCTAGGTCTAAATCTAAAACCCTGTCCAAACTATAAATTTTGTTCGATAAAAACATGTGACATGCCTAAATATGGTCATGATGACATCACATCATGACCATAATACACACACCGTGACTATATAATATATAGTCACGGTGTGCTACATAAGTTTTTAATCAAGGAAAATTTAATAGTCTGGACAGAGATTAATATTGAATCATTAAATTTTTGGTTCATATAGGTCCACGCGGACCAACTGGAGCAGTGGCTGGAGCACCAGGTAAGTCAATTTATTTATACTGTATCTTGTTCAATGAGATACTGTAACAATCTTACTTTACGATAACCAAATTATCACCAGTACCAGGAAGCACCTGTTCAATAGTCACTGTTTCTCTGTGAAAAGGAAACTTTTTAGTTACTGTAAGTTTTGAAATACCAAAGATTAATTTACTGTAACGTGCTTTAAGAACATTCCGTTTGCAATGAATTCTTTCTCATAGACCTGCATTTGCAATTGAGTGACCAGTTAAATATAAGTATAAAATTGTATGTATATTTACACAGGTGTTCCCGGAGTTCCAGGAGTTCCAGGAGTTCCTGGTTTCAATGGTGCATGCGAACCAGGACCAAAGGGCGCCACAGGTAACAATATATTGCTCTTTCATATTCCTTATTCACTTTACTTTATGCTGTATATCGTTATCGTTGAATAATATAAAAAACGCCCGTGGTAAAAAGAACAAAATCACAATAAAGATCTTCTAATAGCAATGTGTTGTGTGGATCATGGGTTTGGACCTGTTCCATCCGGAACCTTCCCATTGGCACCTGTCATTATTCACCCCATGGTGCTCAATCCTAGATCCGCCACTTTTTATGTTACCCGGCCTTTTGCCACAGAAGCTACAGAAGAAAGTACAGTATACTGTATTGCTACACGTTATTAGAACGAAAAAAACTGATTTAAATTTGTGAATTTATTCCGGAAGAGGAACAGACAATATTTATTCACCATTGATTTCACCATATTCATTTTGTACTTATGTCAAATTTGCGATTCTGGCTATCCTACTCAACTTTCAGAATCTTCTGTTAGTCTTGCCGATCGATTGGGAAATAGTGTAGGCCAACGACAGTTTAGTTTTGTTTTAAAATAATACTAACAAAATTGTGAGAAATCTAATAGACTCCTATTTGTATCTACAGGAGTGAATATGAAATACATAGGCCTTCGTTTAAATATTTGAAAAAAAATGTTATTTTTATTTCAGGAGCAAAGGGCGATATGGGGCCCTCAGGTGTACCAGGTAAGATTACAAAACTGTGGATACATTTAAGTAATTAAAACCCATTTTTTATCAGATAAAATGGTAGATGCATTATGACTTAGCGCCAAAATTAAACCACGAGCAGTTAAAGTATTTACTTTATTTTGAATTTGGCCATCAATCAATCTACAGTATTTTGCCCTATTTCTTTATGACTTTAACGATTTATTTTGTCTGTTTTGCGTATTCATGATTTTAACTTACTTTGTAATTCAGCAAAATAGCTGAGCCTTGTTTTTAATTATTATGAACAATCTATTATTGATCCTAAGCGAAATAAACCACTTTATAACACTTTCATTTATTTTGTGTTCAGGGCGGAAGGGTGAATTGGGTCTTCCGGGGATCGACGGTTTAGACGGTAAGATTTCATTATTTGATTCAATGATGACGGTTTTATTAACTCCGAAAAATTAAATTTAATGTTTTTGGAGATATTTCAAATTGTAACAATGTCAACGATTTTAGAAAAATATTTAAACTATACGTAGTTAAAAGATGATGCCGTACGCACTTCTGCTTGTTTTTTTAAAGGTGCCCCGGGAGAAGTTGGACCACCTGGAGAAAAAGGTGATTCAGGTATGTAACTAGCTGAAACTTACAGGAAAAACGAAGATTATTGGCTGATTATTACACATAATGGGTGGCAATCAAATTTACCAACTAACCAATCAGGACGTGTTATTCAATAGCTAGCATTACGCACATGTCCCACAAACAACTTGCGTACGTTTCCATACGTTTAGGCTGTTTAATGTCCCACAACTTAGCAACAATACACAAGGGTCGGGCTGTAGAGCCCACAAATGTAAAAATAAACCACAAAGTAAAAGTAACCACAAATGTAAAACATTGTACCCACAAAATTTCAAAATAACCACAAATGTAAACAATTCACTCACAAATGTAAAAATATGTTTATTTATATATATAAAACTATATATATATAACTTGGACGAATTTGCAGGCGTTCTGTTCTGAACTCTTCCACCTAGGAGGTCTCGGCATTGTGCCCTCCCGAGTATATAGTTTTCCGAGATTTGTTACTTTAGGGTAGTATTTTTTTTACAACTATAACGACGAATCTGCAATTTTCTTTTGAGAGTACATATTGCAGGCCATTCGCCTTAACCTATGACACTAACATGAGCCACGCGCTCGTGGCAGCTGTTAGCGTGTATCAGTTTTCCGACCTCAGCTATTTCGATCTGATCGATAATATAATTTAGCGGAAAATTTTTCGATTTTCTACCGACGATCATCAAAATTGACTAAAGAATACCAAACATAAATCTAACCTGTAAACTACTCACAACTAGTATAGACCTACACATATTATTTTAATATAAGTAATATTGTATTTATGTGTGATATTTTCAAAACGCAAGATCCAAATGCGTGAGTCTCACACTAAATTTGGGAGACTTTGTAAGTCTGTTTTGGTCTTGAGAAGAAATCATCTTACCGTGACATTAATTGAACCCAGGACACTGAGATTGAACGGCAAGCATCTTAACCACCATATTATTCAACTCCAGTTTGTATTTCAATTTTACCTGTTTTGATCTGCTAATTAGGCAATACCTCAAAACCTATTTTGGCATCATGTGATGCTCTGAAGAAAGCCGGTTTTGGTTTTAGCGGTACTTACAGAATCGATCCCGATGGTGCCAGTAATGGATTGGAGCCGTTCTCAGTAGTTTGTGATATGACATCAGATTTATCTGTGGGTACGTTTGTTTGTGTTTCTTACCGTATTCTGTTTTTAAAACAACCAGATTATACCTTCGATCCCTTCTTTGAGTTTTCAGTACAATATATTTTGGAAGATCTAGCTCTAAGATGTATACACTTAAAAGTGTGTTAGCGGAAAAGTTAGGACTAATATCGACTATATTTTGCATTAGGCCTGATATAAATAATTTTTAATTTATGTGTGTTGTATGTGAATGCTTATTCTTATTTTTTTAATTATATATATTACCCGTCTGTATAATATTTCATATATTTTGTTTACATCAAAGGTTATACAACGATTCACCACGACAAAGAAGAAGACGGCGATGTAAAGGGTTTCGAGGACAAAGGGTCATTCATAGTGAATGTTACTTACGATCTTGGGCGGGAGCAGGTAGAGGCGATCAAGGCAGTTTCATCTTCGTGCAGACAATTTATTAAAGTAAGTGTTTAGACCTCTCTGGGGCCTGATCTGATGTTTCCTTGTAATGCTACAAACACAGATGATCGGTGTTCCTCCTACCATTAATTAATTCCTCCATGCTACTTAATACTCGCACCCAATACAATCTAATATTTACTCTCAACACAATAGGCCTCTACTCCAGTACAGGTCTCCCTCCAATTAAAGACCACTTTTGGGACAGGGGCCGACAGAGGTTTTCATAAGCAGCTTTTGTGTTCAATTAGAAAAAAAATATATATAGACAGGCATTTCTTCAGGGCACAGAAAGGTGATCTGTAACGGGAGGCCGGTCTTTCGTTGAAGAGGTCTGTAATTAGAAACTTATAGACAATTTTATGAAAGTACATTTACTTCTACACTTAACTCATTAATACTAGTATCCAAACTTTGTTTATAAATGTACCTTAGTTCAGTTGAATAAATAAAAGATAAGACTGGACAATTAGCATGAATTATTTTTTATATTTCATAGAGTTGATTGTATATTTTGTATCTTTACAGTATGAATGTATCGGATCACTGTTTTCTAATGGATATCAATATTGGATCTCATTTGATGGCCAACCGATGGTCAACTGGGGAGGTGTCCCAACAGGAACTACGGGATGCGCATGCGGGGTGACAGGTAAGTAATATATCTGTCTCTTATACACATCTAGATGTGTATAAGAGACAGGCCTATAATGCCTAGCATAGGGCTCGTGATCGCGGTAGCCTGA